AGTGTTTCTTATTGCCAGACATTCTTATACTCACCGCCAACCCGACCGCCGCTAGGAATGGATTGGCGTGATGCGTTATAATTGGCGGTGAGCATTTAACATGTGTTGACTTATCGACCTCCACGGTTTAGAGGGCTTATCGGTTATGTCTCGAAAGTACAAAGTAGGATGAACTGGTTGATTGTCAGACAGAAGTAACTTACGGGTAAAAATCTATCGATAGATAGTGCCAGGTTACTTTTAATAATATCTATAGAAACAGTCAGCCGCTTATACGGCCTCTGTACTTAATGATCATAAATATTTACATACAGTTAGCTCTAGATGAATGATATCATGAGACGTGCTACTGTGCTTTTATATGTCAATTCTATAATTTTTTTTTGGACACTTTGTTCTCTTGATATACAGCAAGAAGGATAATGATTAGCTGCAGACTATGAAATCTAATAAAAAGCACAACCTGTATAATATCTAGTATACCTACATATGCAGGTGGATATATGTAGTACCTTTGGAGACAGCCCGTACACACCGTCAATGGTCTTTCAATCAGCAGCATGGAAAATCTTAATGTTGGCAAGTATGAAAATACCTTGAGATTAATATATTGGCTGTACATGGAGATAGATGTCAAGTCATTCTATTGAGGAGGATATATGGCCTACGGCAGATTGGTGGAGAAGAATGAATTGGAAATGGTTTGTTTCATTAAATGACGTTATCATCTTGCTTTTGTCTACAAGGCGGAGCCCTTATGCACCCATATTTGTAGGTTGTGCGACAAGGTACCCAGCACCTTAAAGAACACTTCTGACCCCAGGACGCTGTCCTGATTCCTACTGGGAATCGACACCGGCAATGTAGGAGATGAGGTCAACAACACGGCGGGAGTAACCCCACTCGTTGTCGTACCAGGAGACAAGCTTGATGAAGTTGGCGTTAAGAGCGATACCGGCGGCGGCATCGAAGATGGAGGAGCGCTCATCACCGTTAAGATCGGTGGAGACAACCTGGTCCTCAGTGTAGCCAAGGATACCTAAAATAATTTGTTAGTATGTTACGTAGTGGACATGGTTGAAAAAAAGTATCTCACCCTTGAGCTCGCCGTTCTCGGAAGCGGCCTTGACGACAGCCTTGATCTCGTCGTAGGAAGCACCCTTCTCGATGCGGCAGGTAAGGTCGACAACGGAGACGTTGGCGGTGGGGACACGCATGGCCATACCGGTGAGCTTGCCGTTCAGCTCGGGAATAACCTTGCCGACAGCCTTGGCGGCACCGGTAGAGGAGGGGATAATGTTCTGGGCCGCAGTACGGCCACCACGCCAGTCCTTGGAGGAAGGAGCATCGACGGTCTTCTGGGTGGCGGTGTAAGAGTGGACGGTGGTCATGAGACCCTCAACGATTCCGAAGTTGTCGTTGATGACCTTGGCGAGAGGGGCCAAGCAGTTGGTGGTGCAAGAGGCGTTGGAGAGAACGTTGACATCCTTGGTGTAAGACTTGTTGTTGACACCCATGACGAACATGGGGGCATCGGCGGAGGGAGCGGAGATGATGACCTTCTTGGCACCACCCTTCAAGTGAGCAGAGGCCTTCTCCTGAGTGGTGAAGACACCAGTGGACTCGACAATGTAGGCGGCACCGGCCTTACCCCAAGGGATAGCAGCGGGGTCACGCTCGGTGAAGAAGGTGACCTTCTTGCCGTTGACGATGAGACCGTCCTCAACGTGCTCGATCTCGCCCTTGAACTGACCGTGGGTGGAGTCATACTTGAGCATGTAGGCCTATCCAGCAGATGGGAGGTTAATACCAGGCTCTGAGGAAGCAGTTGATTTTTTGAGAAACATACAGCGTAGTGAGTCTCAATGAAAGGGTCGTTGACAGCGACAACCTCAACATCGGGGTTGTTGATACTAGAAGTATGGGTTAGAATGCTTCTCGGGACTTTTTTTTTTCTTTTTCTTTTTCTTGTTCTTCTTCTTCTTCTTTCAGTGTGCAACTTACGCATTGCGGAAGACCTGTAGACGTTGTTAGTATCTGAAGCTGAAAGTTGACGGTGAAGGGAATGACTTACAATGCGGCCAATACGACCGAAACCGTTGATACCGACTTGGACAACCATGATGGCGGTTTACTGGAAGCTTGTTAGCTCAGGTAGAGTGATAGATAATAAGAGGATGACCAACTTACTGTAATAGTGAAGTAATTGATGAAAGGGGAGAATTGGGATGGAGAAGAAGAGAAGAAGAAAAAAAAAAAGATCTGGGGGAGGGGGGATTAATGAATGGATGACTGACGCAATGGACAGATCACCCCTCACCGAAGAGACGGACGGGGACTCTCACACTTTCTGTCATGGCACTCTACAAACATCAGACCGAACTAGATTTCCCGACTGCTGCCGCTTGTACATCTGCCCAGCAACCGCATTTCCGGTTTCATACACCGGGGAAATCAGGAAGAGTCACGATATTGGGGCCTTACTCTGCCCCTCGGTAGCTCCCGTCTACCAATAGGAATTCAGCAAACCCCAACTGCTCTTCGGGTTGTTACTATCCTTCGGAGCTTTCTCTTGAATATTTTGCCTATTCGGTGTCTACTCGGGTACAACGGAGATGATCACGATAATCTTAGTTACGGAATTGAAATGATTCCCGAGGTGGTTGACTAAAGGAACTATGACCCTATAGTTTTTGGAGGGGCAATGAGGGGCAAACATATAGGTAGGGTAGGTAGATGGAGGTATGTGCATACAGAAAATCAGCCAGTTAAACTGATAGAATTAATATAAATCATTAATTATTCTTTAACCTTCTAACTACATAAAATGTTGTATTCCTCCACTTATGCGGGCCAACCGTGTTGTTCAAGCCCCTGCGGTGGACGGATTGAGTATGGTGATATAGCTTGGTGGCTCCCGCCCTCAAAGGAGTCACCGGTATCTCAACAACATGGGGCCACGGGATCTGGCAGATTTTTTATTTTGATTTTTCTGTTTTTGAATTATTCGAATATTTGAGCTTTGAGGGGTTTGAAACTACTGGGGTCCCCAATATTCCAACAGGTTGGAAGCCCTTGACTGGATTATCAATCCTTTTTTTTTTTTGCCTCAACCGCAGTCGTGGACAAATCACGAAACCCTACATGGACCTCACTAATAATCTCTGAGCTAGGCTATCTATGAGACTTCTCATCAGGCCATATCAGCATGTATCTCGGAGCCGACACTTTCAGTGGCGCAATCTCCAGAGAGGTGCCATGACTGAACGTCCTTTTGTACAGGAGTTAGATCATCCAATTTAGGGGAAATGGCATGACCAGATGGATTTCACAAAGATTAACAATATAGTCCAGACCTTACCCAGAAAGGACGGTCTGGACTTGATAGGATGAATTATGAATTATGGTACAATGGGGTGGAATGAACAGCGTGCTATCATTCAAATCGGGGCACCGACGACCCATAGGGGGAATCAATTGGTGGCCTAGAGCAACCCAGCATTTGCATTTATTCCTCCTTGACACCACCACGCCAGTTCTTCTCGGCAGCCTCAATGGAGGCCTTGTCGCTCTTGGGTCCGCCCTGGGACATGAAGCCCCCGGCGGCCTTGAAGGGACGAGCGAGATCACCAGTAGCGGGCTTGCCGAAAACGTGAATCTTGGCAAGATTGGACTCAAAGGCGCCCTTGAGGGGAATGATCGACTGGATGAGGAGGGGGTTGGTGTACTGGAAGTACAGGTGCATCACACCCATCATGCCGACACCCATAAGCTGGCTGCGGAGCAGCTGGCGCAGCTGAGCCTTGTCGTAGTCCATGTTGGTGGTGGTCACAGGCTTGGGCTCCTCGGTGCTACCCATAGCGGCGGGCTCAACGTACTTAAGGGTTGTCATGTCTGCAGGATATCGCATTTAGTTTTGGTCATTGTGGGGAGAGCACGCGATCGACATACCCTTCTTTTGATTGATCTTAAACTGGGTGTATAGGTGGACAGCCAGGATGAGAACATTGGACAAGATGTAGCATCCGCGCACCAACATCAGGACATGAGGATCCTCAAAGGCAACCTTTTTGGCCAGCTGCATCATCACCAAGATGATGGCGAGGTTGGTACTGTGCGACCATTGTCAGTTTCCGTAAACGATAGAGTTTGTGTTTAAATCATGAAATTTTCCATCAAGCATACATTTGAGGAGACACCATTTTGCCGGATACTGTTCGATATGGAGAGATCGTTGAATATGGGGGAGTACAACGCGAACAAAACTTGAAAGTCGCGGGCCACCTGGCATTTCTGGAAGGTCAGGGATCCGGAAGAAATGATATTCCGGCGCTATCTATTCGCCATCTCGCCGCCTGAGGCGTTACAGTTTGTCGCCTGATTTACGAGGCGAGGGTGGATCATGTGACCTCCCCCGCTGGTCATAGCTGGGAACTGTGATGGTCCAGCTTCAAACCAGACCGGCTTATTGTGCAAAAGGTCATCGACCACCACATCAGTGGCCTTTCATTTTGACTTAAAGTTGCACAATGGTGTGGATTATGGCAATCACAGAAGTTTCATATGTGAATCCTAGTCATAGATGCCGGAGGCATCCATTCCCTCCAGCCAGCTGAAGGCGCACTGGCTTCCACCATGGTCTCCTCGCAGGCCAAAACTAACCATGTCTTCTGTCTATTTTTTCAGGAAGAAAAAAAAAACAATTGATAACCTCCACAGCAACTGATTTCTAGATCATCCAAATGGCCCTACAGATGGCCATATATACAGGCAAGAACCCCAACGCTATGAGAAAGGACGCTTCCATTTTGGGACTAGCGCCAAGTGTCTTTCTGGCACAACAAGCGCCTGGCACATTCTGACTTCTCCATCCATCAACAACGCGCGTATCTTCTGCACTCTGAATTGTCTCCACATCCACACCACTACTAAATCGACTTGGTTTCTGTTTCTATCTGCTATACCTACTTCTGCGACCGTCTTCGCACATTTATTTCGCAATGCCTGGCGGAAAGGGAAAGTCTATCGGTGGAAAGGGCGGAAAGGGTGATGCTGCGGGGAAGGCCCAAAAGTCTCACAGCGCAAAGGCTGGTCTGCAGGTTAGTGGGATCATGACTCGTCTCATTGCTGGCTTAGGAATCGTCGCGTCCGAGAGTGGTCATGCGATACGAGTGATGAGTTACTTGATGAAACTGCCCCTCGAAGACGCGTCGACTCGGTCCCTCGTTGCTGCTCGATAAGGGGCAGTTTCTTTCGATATCTATGAAACTCATACCATGTCGTCGCATACCTCTCGGCCATGTTTTCCTCTAATCGCCAGCTGTCTAAGATGACGCGACTGCTAACACAAATTTACCCTCACAGTTCCCCTGTGGTCGTGTCAAGCGTTTCTTGAAGAACAACACTCAGAACAAGATGCGTGTTGGTGCTAAGGGTATGCTATGCCGCTTCAACCGATCCCTCAAACCCGTCGCTAACACTTTTCCTCCTATAGCTGCCGTCTACGTGACCGCTGTTCTTGAGTACCTCACTGCTGAAGTTCTCGAACTGGCGGGTAACGCTGCCAAGGATCTTAAGGTCAAGCGCATCACGCCTCGCCATCTCCAGCTCGCCATCCGTGGTGATGAAGAATTGGACACCCTTATCCGCGCAACTATTGCCTTCGGTGGTGTTCTGCCCCGCATCAACCGTGCACTGCTCCTGAAGGTTGAGCAAAAGAAGAAGGGTGGCAAGATCGAGCTCTAAATCATCATCTGAAAAAGTTCCGAAAAGTTGGGCTGCCACCGCGGGAGGTACCGTCGAGACCTTGACACCTTGACTGCTAAACCTACGACTAATCCCGGCGGCCCTTTTTTTCAGTCCTCTCGTCTTTGTTCTTCACGGCGCTCTACTTTGATGTATTTTTTTTCTCTGATATTCCCCGGTCTTTGCTTTCAATCGTGTTTTTTTTCATTTCGAGTTCATAGGGCGCTGTAATGGGAAAATGGGGATATCCTGGTAGTGGGAATTTTACTGATTCGATGTGCTTCACGATTCATTTACTATGTAATAATTGTACGATTATCTATTTTGTACGCTTTTACCCACCAGCGCACAGTAGAAGTCTCTCAGGTATAGAATCCCGGGACATATGCTTCCGTGATCGGACCGATTGTCCATACCACATTCCTTAGTGGTCAAACATTTATATTGCATGAATACTTTAAAAGACCTTGCATACAGGCCTACCAAGAAACAAACGTAGTTCTTTTTCACCGCCTATCTATTAAATTATACACCGCCCCCTATTATTACTATACGTTACGAAACCCCCTTAATTGCTCCTTCAACCATGGTTCGACATACAGAGCTCACCCGCGATCAACGCCTACATTGTCGTGTCCTTCGAGATGAAGGCTATACGTATCCCTATATTGCATCCCGTTTAGATTGCAGTATACGGCAAGCTCAATATACATGCAACAATACTATGCAAACGACACCACAAAAGAAGAAGAAGACAGGCCGACTTCCAAAGCTTACCCCTGAGCGTCTTGACGAAGTAATCCTATGGATTCAACAATCTCTTGAGCATCGCTGTCTAAACTACCATAATATCTGTGGTATCTTAGATCTTGGTATATGCGGGGAGACACTTCGCCTATCTCTAAAAGCTCGTGGGATGACTTCACACCCTGCTGCACAAAAGCCTCCGATCCTTACCTCCTACCGGTCGAAACGTCTAAACTAGGCCTAGGCCCGTCAAAATTGGTCGGTAGATGATTGGAGAAGGGTTATCTTTAGTAATAAGGCTTTGTTCCGATCTAGATGGCATCGAATGCCTTATATCCTACGATTTGATAACGAGAGATATCATAAAACTGCGGTTGTTAGACAATCAACCTAGCGGAAGGGGATTATGGCTTGGGTATGCTTTGCTGGTGATAAAAAAGGCCCCCTTGTTATCTAGGATTATAACTAGGGGACTCTTAAATCAAGCACTTTTATTAAGTATATTGTACTAAAGATAGATCAATTTAATATTGATCTATAGGACAATTATCAGATTGATACACTTCTTATGCAAGATAGGGCCCCTTGCCATTGGTCCTATGAAACTATAGAGGAATTAGAAGGTTTAGATATCGTCAAAACCGATCATCCACCTGTCTCGCCAGACCTAAATCCGCAGGAGAATATATGGAACTGGCTTAAAGAATATGTGACGGAGCGATGTCACTCTGGTACTCGAAATCATGAGCTTGCATGTATTATACAGGAAGGATGGCATGCATTACCAGCTAATATGCTAGAAAACCTAGTATGTTCAATGCCGCGGCGGGTGCAGGAAGTGATCGAGAGAGATGGACGGGCTACGCAGTATTAAAAAAAATACAATACAATACATTGATGAATAATAGATTTCGGGCAGAATAATAGTGGAGAACTACGTTTGTTTCTTGGTAGGCCTGTACAAAATCAGGAACTTTGTTAGCTCCTCGGGGGATCGACAGGGACAAACATGTATAACTCCGAGAGATAAACAATATCGAACCGCGTCATTTGTTCTTGGCATCTAAATTTTGGGTTTATTCCTGACATGGGATGAAGGTGAAATGGGGTTCGTTTTTACCTTGGAGATCCTCAGTGGTGGGACCCGGAAATTCAGGTTAGAAGTACGGAGTGGAGTTTCTATCAGAATATTTACACACAACTATGATCCCGACTCACCTACTGGTAGGATAGAAATAAGGTAGAAGGTACATGGATTGAACTGTGAGAATCTGAGTACAAAGGCAAAGGCAAGAGAGAGGGAGAAAAAAAAAAGGACCCCTGGACTGCAAGATACCAAGCATGAAGAGGAATAGAACCCTCCAGAATGGGAAGTTGGGAAATATATCAACATCACTGACACAGGAATACAAAAGATGCATCCATACTGTGGAAGGTAGATCTGTAGAATCGGCACAATCGAAGGTAGCAGAATCACAATATAGCTGTTTTATTTTTGGAAGGAAAAAAAAAACAGAACAGAGTTGTGGATTCGCCCTGATCATCACTTCGCGAGACGAACGACGTCCGGCCAAAGGGGAAAACAGTCAAAGCACGCGGAAAAAGAAAGCAAAAAGAAAAAAGAAGTAAAAAGAAACAGGCATGTCACAACCATCTTACCCGGACAGACCGAACATGAATTTCCCTCGTGTAGGAGAAAGCAGTTGTCGGGATAAGACGGGCCAGAAACATTAAAACAGATGCGAGTCACCCCATGTACAAACTAAAACAGACAAGAATATGCAAAATGCTGGTATTGTCGTTTCTTCTGCCGTGGGCAAAAGGTCTTTTGTGTCATTCTTCGTATGCGTCCCATATCACCAGGAGGCGTTCGGGGTCGTGGAGTTCGTTCCGACACAGCATAAATAGAAATCCATGGATTTGCAAGGCGCCCGCAATATCAGAAAGTGGTCGAAATAAAAAAAAGTATCAGTCCAGAAACAAGTCCAGAGTCTTCATGAAACTGTGAGTCGGGGAAATTTCAAAAGCATTCATCCAAACCGCGTGTTGGGCTGCCCCAAAAAAAAGCAAACGTCTAAAACTTGGCTAGATCAGCGAAACAAAGGATTTTCTGGTCTTTTTTTTGTGTTGTTGTCATCTCGTCATCCCTCATCGAATCGTAAGCCGGTAATTCGCAGAACAGGGACTCGTAATACAAGTCGTATTCGTCTTGCGGCAAATCAGTCGGATGCTGGCAATAAAAAGGGGAGTCGCCATCTTCAATAAATTCGTCCAATGTTCTACTCCACGATGATCTCTACTCCGGAGTTGGTGCGGAGCTCATCACTTCCGCGGGCTTGGTGGCCGTTCTGACGGCGAAATCCGGTGCCCTTGTCGGGGGTCGGGCCACGGGGTTGGCGGACGGGCATGCGCTCCTGCTGGCCGTCATATCCCATACCCATGCCGCGGTTGCTACCAATGGCGCCAGCGTTAGATTGTTGGCTGTCCTGTTCCCAAGAGAACATGCCTCTCAGCCGACGGGGGCTTGAGTTGGGGCCACCAATACCGGTGCCGAGGGAAAGACCGCCCAGGCTGTTGACCAGCAGGTTGTCGTCACGCTGCATGCCAAGGGAGGGACCAGACTGCGCAGGGGTGAGGGTCGGGGTGTTGGATGTAGCAGTGGGCGCGCCGTCATACTGGAGGCGGGCACCGTTGGACTGCAACGCGGCGGGGAAGCTAGCGGAGGAAGGCACCGGCGACGGGGTGTAAGATCGCAGGTCGGCAAAGGACTTGGCAGCCCGCAGGTTCTGGCCGTTGGCAAAGTTGCCAGGAGAGTCCATCACACCCAAAAAGCCCGAGTTCTGTCCACGCAAGGTGTTGAAGGCCCCAGGCCCCTCTTGGCGAGCCTCGCTGAAGTCGATGGTTGCCGCCCGGTTAAGGCCACGACGACCACTGTCTGACTGGCCAGAGGGGGGGATTGAGGACGTCGGGGGGCTAACATTGGCACCTGCGGCGATCTTGAAGACTTGCACCTGGCGCTGTTCGCCGCTGCCACGTGAAGCATGACCCAAGCCCATGTTGTGAGCCAGAGTGTGGACTGTACGACGCTGGGAGGGAGTGAGGTTGTGGGGGAAGATCACGGAATCACGAACAGTATCTTCTTTGAACAGGAGTAGTTGGGAGTAATAAGAAAGGGTCTGGGTGTCGTTCAAGTCCACATCTGTACACATGGAAAAATATGGTTAGCGACAGGTCGAAATTTCCGAAGACTTTACGAGTGTAACCTACCAATTTTTTGGCCACGCTGAGACACGGGCGAAGGGGAGGTTGTCGGGATGTGCGAGGTGAGTGAAGACATGGAGCTCTGCGTCTGGAGCTGAGGGCCTCCTCCCATCGGGCGGTGCTGTTCTTCCAACTGGCCACGGCGTTCTCGCTTCTCGCGCTCGATCCGTTCCCGTTCCTGCAGGGGAAGCATCTTCTTGTACTCGACTCGCAATTTCCGACCCTGTAGCTCAAAGTGGTTGAGCACTTCGATCACGGTTGCTGTCTCCTCGGCAGAAGTGAAGTTGGCAAATGCCAAACCACGGAAGACACCATTGTCAAAGTGATAGTTAAATGCGTAGGGCAGAGGAAGGTTGAGCTCTGTCATCAACTGCACCAACTGCTCCTTCTTTACGGCAAAAGGGATATTCTTGATGACAATCGCGGTTGGGATCAATTCGTCGTCGTCGGCAGATGAAGCGGAGGCTTCCGGTCGCATCGCGCTGCTCTGAATGGGACCAGGGCCCAGGTTCGAGAATGCTTGGGGCATGTTCGGCTGCTGATCCAGCCATGTCTTAAGAAGCCTGTTAGTATTTTCCTCTTTTTTTTTCCCCTCCCCCTCATGAAGATAGGGGGAGTCATTGTAAAACAAGATGCAACATACTGTGGGAAGGCCTGCACGTCCGCGGGCATTAGGCTTCAAACTGGCGGAGGCTGAGCGAATTCCTCCAAGAGTTTGTGCATTGGCAAAACCGTTGGGGTTCCAAGTCTGCGAGCCGGAGATATCATATCCATAATTGTTCTGGAGGGACGGGTTCAAGCGTTCTAGGCGAGCGGACTCGTAACGCATCTGATCCTGCTCGTACATGTTGGTCGGCATAGGGCCGTATGCATCAAACTGTCGAGAAGGTTGACGGTGTAGGGGTTGTTGATGCCTCTGAGACCCAGGGGAACGCGCAGAATGATCGTGATACATGTCTTGATAACTCATCGAGAATTCCGCGAGGAATGTGAAAATCCAAACCAGTTTAAGTAATAATTGTCACTACTCCACCATGAGAGCGACGCAAGGCTTGGAAGTAAAGAAACCGTCGAGGGACGGGATTGTGCGGATGTTTTGGGGAGGAGGAAAACTTTGGACTAAAAGCCGATCGGAGGGAGATTCTGGGGCGGAGAAGGAAAAAAAAATAGAAAAATAGAAAAAAGAGAAGCAGAATAGAAAAGAAAAAAGGTCACCAAAGATCACCAAATATTCCTTTTCATTCAAAGTCCTTTTTTTGCTTTTCTTTCTTTTCCTCTCTGTTCCTTTTTTTTTCCCCCTAAGTTGTTAGGTGTGCGTGGGTGTTGTAGTCCGGGGGATTTCCTTGGAACTGGTGGAACTGGACTTTCCCAGGTATAAAAAAAAGGCTTATCAAAGATGAAACCTTTAAACCCAACCAAAAGTTGACAGATCTCTCAAAATAAAAATCAAAAGATCCAAGAGCGGGGGAAAACAGAGAGAAAATAAATAAAAAGAGGAATTCAACAGGAAAAGCGGTCCACAAATCCGCCAAGAACGGAGGGAGTAAGGAGGTGATTAATGAAGAGAGAGATGAATAGGGAGAAAGAGAGAATGAGATGAGATGAAATGGAGTTAGGTCGAAAGCAGGTGATCAGTTAGATATGCAGGAAATCAGAAATTAAACCAGTAAGAAAAAAGGATCAAAAGGAGGAAAAGCCATACTTATAGCACTAATACAGAGCACTAAGAGCAGTTAGAGCACCCTTATAACTAACTAGTACTTCGAGTTTATATTAGATCTTCAACTGTTATTCCTCCCCCTGGATCTTAAGGTGGACTCGCCATATACCAATAAGATTATACTATTTAATCCGTGACTGCATGACAGAGTACACACAGCCCTAGTACAAGATAATTGCTTAGTTCTTTTAATCTGTATAATTGGTAACGGTATACACTCCCAACCTGGGAAGGTTTCCCTTGAACTTTTATATTACATTATATGTATATGGATGCATATACATATTCCCGCTATATACTATGTATTCCCCCTTTTCCTCGGAATTGGGAACCTTGGAAGGTCCTCCCCCCCCCCCCCCTCATCAACTCAGAGGTAGAGGTCAATAACTCCAGACTCTCGGCTCCCCTGTCTCTCTCCTGTCAGTTCCTGATGCTCCTTAGCCTTTTACCAAGACGCCGGTGCCTCGTTAGACTCCTCACTAGGCGATTCCGAGGACCCCATAGTGGACACTTGGAGCTTCTCATCCCTGAACAGATTTTAAGGAAGTATTATTTCCATTTCACGGAGTACGGAGTATTACTCCGTCTCAAAATTATTTGCATGCACCCGTGGACGAGTCCCACGGGTTGTCTGACGTATAGGAAGGGTTCGCGCCCTGCCTCGTGCTTTGCAAGGGGTTCATTCCTGCACACTGTCTGTGATTTCTCTATATTTGACACAACTTGGACATGCATATGGAGTATTTATCATGGACTCCGCTCCATTTTAATTACTGTATTCTTCTGGATATTCCATATTTCATCTGCTTCAGGGGCTTTTTCTATAATTACTTCTTATTACTACTATTATTACTCCTGAAGTTAGTTCCACCCCCTAATTTCACTTCGCCCCATCCTTCCACTCCAGGCGAATTCGTGACTCGCCACCTTATGAAGCCACCAAGTTATTTTAACAATTTTCCTTAATGGTTCGGCCCAGTCGGATAGGGCACCTTATTCCCATCGGCTATTGCAGCTGACACTAGGGGGTACGGAGTACGGAGTACGGAGTACATGCAAGCTAGTATATTGGTGTCAGTCCCACTCCACGAAATTGGAACTTCCACCTGGTCTCCACGATCCGCGCATCCCCCGTTTCTAGCGCATGCGCCGAAGCTCCTCAGAGGCTCATGTGGTCCAGCTAGAACCCGCTAGACGCTGGTTAGAACATTTAGTGGCAGTGTCAGATCCCGGGTGGAGCTCTGGAGCTCTCCGGCTCGTGACTACTACTCGGCATTGACTCCTCCGTATCCCGGAGTATGGCCGCTGGAATCAGATTGACGCTAGAAAGACGGAAGTTTTTTTTTTTTTTTCTCTAAATTAGTCTAATTTGCTTCGGGTGTCGTTCCCGTAATAGGCCTCGTAATAGGTCCCGTACTCTGTATTAGGTGTCGCTGGCAAGAGGAATTATATAGTGCACATGAAATTGCCTAGGTGCACTTTTGATCTTGCTCTCTACTTAACCTGCGCAACCTACTCCGGACTAAGATGAGAGTTTGCGATCAACCCAAAACCAGGGAAAGAATTTATGGTAGTGGATTGATCTACAGAGCGTCGGGTCGGGTCGCAAGCACATCCACGTTTCAGGAGAAATTTGTCACTTGGACAGCCAGGGACTCCCTGGCTAGCTCTATTCATCCATGGATGGACGGAATGATTGTCTCAGTAATCCTAACGAGTAGTCGTACATGGGTACACCCCCAGGAGGCTATTAGCCCCTGAGGTGAAGGGAACAAGCAACCTTCATATCTTCCACAACTGGAAGGGGGCAAGGCCACACTTGGACATCCGAATTGATCGCTCTCCAAAAGCCCAAGATATTGAATTGCAACCCGTATACTCCGTACGGAGTAGGACTACTCTAGAATATCACTCACACAAAAGGGGGAAAGAAAGTCTCCGAGATGCTAGGATCTACCCGCACACGAGGCCACTGCGCCAGGAAAAAGCAATACCGGGCACGGCTGATCAAACGAGGTTCGGGCTCCCCCTGGAAAATGAGACGTACTTCTACCAACAGACCCATATTTGATCTTCAACCTGGGTCAAAGTTGTATCCATACGAGCCATCAGCCATAAATTATCTGACATAAGCCGGAGTCACACCCGTGGACCTGGGCAGACAAGTCTGGGCAGTGTCCATGTTCTGGGGCCTGAGAAATCAGGCCGAGAACCAACCTTGCAGGGTTGGACCTCGAAGTCTGACGTACATACAACATACAACATACCGACACATAAAACATAGATAGGGGATTAATGCAAATCGACATAATGTTCAATATCTGACCCGTTTAACCCGTTTGAAACGCTCCAAGGTTAACATTCTAAACTGCTCGGTTAATTGCATGCAGATTATGCAGCCCTTAGATCCGCTTCAAATTATATATATATATATATATGTAGTTCTCTACCTACATATTTTATATTATAACATGATATACAAGATGCGTAGCTATGGATATTCCATACACTGTGAAATAATTCCAAAATCAAGAGATCGACAGTTTCATGACAAGATCGGATTATTCGACACGAATGAGTGACGAGTGTCAGACCCACATGGGAAGAGGTTGCACTCGCCAGATTGCGACCTGCCTCTGTGGACAGTGATGATTATTTCACTCGAGGCGAATAAAAAAAAGTGCTCGGAAACTAGTAATAAACCAAGTCTGGACAAGTTTTTTCTAGAAGAAAGAGAGAAAAGAAAAAAAAAAAGGCAGATAGTATATACTGTCCAGACAGAGTACGTATATTTCGTGCAGTCACTACGCGGCCAAGCTGACGGGCTGAAGGCCAAGACGTTTAAGTGGAGACTAACGTACGTTTAAAAGTGCGGGCTTTTCGCTTCTTGGGATCTTGATTAGATTTCGATTTATTTAATTCCGATTTCTGATCTTCAACTCGCATGCTGGACAATGCGAACACCATTACGAGCGGTGATGGCCATTGCGCTAATTATAACCCTGTTTTTGGTCAAATTTCACCTCGATTCCATCTTGCAATGGCAAAATAATGGAAGCACTTCCGACCTCTATGTCTTAGATGGCGATTCATATATCGAGCTGGTCTCGGCCAATACTGCGACGCCAGCTTCACAGACCCAAACCCGAAGGAAATGGATTCCTACGGCCCGACCAACGCCTCGCCTAGTGATAGCAAATCCGGAACCGAAGCGCATCCCCGTCGATGTCCCCGGTGCTGAATGGGCGGGAGAATTATTATTCGGTTCTAGAGGGGCGCCCAAATTCTATGATCTAGAAAGCGTACTCGATAATGCCCAAATAATTGCTCCAGCAGAGCATAATGATGTGGTGGTGCCTTCGTCTACTGCTCCTTCTCGTCCAAAGGTCACTCCGAAATCGGATCGCGTCATTGTTCTGGGGAAGATGTCGTACGAAGACACTAATTGGCTTGAGGATGAGCTACCAGAGTATGTTCCCATGGATAAATCACCGATCGATCACAAACTGCGCCAATGCTAATCCGGAACTCGAATTCTAGATGGCAACACGCAGTCTACCTTGTCGATGACCCCGAAGCATCTCTGCAAGTCGAACAAAATAAAGGTAAAGAAAGCAGTGCCTACCTGCAGTACATTCTCGATAACTACGACAAATTACCCGAGTATATGGTCTTCCTCCACGCTCATCAATATAGCGGCCACGTCGAATTTTGGGAGCAGGATAATGTGTTGACCGTCCAAAGACTGCAACTCGACTACCTTCGACAAGTTGGATATCTCAACCTACGCTGCGACTGGAATCCCGGATGTCCCGATGAGGTCCAGCCATTCCGGCAAATGGCTGGTCGCACCACCGAGCTTGCCTTTGCCGGTGCTTGGATCCGTATCTTTAACAACACGGATGTGCCTGAGATTATTGCGACCCCTTGCTGTGCTCAATTTGCTGTAACCAGGGAGCAGGTCCTCCAACGCCCACGGAGCGCCTATGAGTCGTATCATGATTGGCTCATGACAACCGAGTTGGATGACGAGACGAGTGGTCGTGTCTTTGAATACATATGGCACATTATTTTCGGGCAGGATCCCGTGTTGTAAGTTATAACACAAAAAAAAAAAGTCTAGGGAATTGATGCTAACCCTCGAGCGCGAATAGCTGTCCTGCAAAGGCACAGTGTTACAAGGATGTATATGCTATGGATTACGTGGAGCCAACCGATGATTTCTTTGATGATGACTTCTGGGGCAATTGGTACGATGAAACGCCTTTAGATGAACCACCTGTGTATGAAACACCTGTGCATGCGACACCTGCGAAGGAAACCCCCGTGAAGGAAACGAAACGCCCGTGAAGGAAACGCCTGTGCATGCAACACTTGCGAATGAGACATGATTGTATTTATCTAACTTATATAAAGCTTCTGGGATGTATCAATACCTAGACTTGCCTTAATTTTCAATGTGATTGCTTTTAATTCTGTTGCTGTATATTATTTTCTCTTTCTGCTCACTCGCGAGGTCAGCGAGTCACTGACAAATCTTCGCTGAATATACTAGACTATTACTCTACGTTCTCTCACTCGAGCCTTTTCTAAAACTCCGAAATCGTCAATTGCATATACTATAGACTATCTCAAACTGGACGTAGCTCATCGACATCATCTGCAAATATAAAGAACGACATTCGACATATTCATAAAACCACGTGTATCTCTTCACTTGCTCGGATTTGGCGGACCTCTCACAGCCAAGCAAAAGCCATCAGTCCCATGGCACCTGCCACGGATGCAGCACCGGGAGCAGAAATACTAGCTGCAGCACCAGGAGTAGGAGTGGGAGAGGATGCAGAACCTGACGAGGCACTAGCGGAATCAGAGGATCCCGAGGAAACAGACGTAGTCGAATCCTGGCTGTTGGTTCCGCTGGTGCTAGAAGAATCTGTTCCGGTGGCTCCGTTTGAAGTAGTAGGACTAGAAGTGTCTGTGGTGGTAGATGTGCCAGTCACAGTAGTGGCGGCAGAGTTGTAGGTAGTCGTGGTGAACGAGCAAGAGTGGACAAGGTCAAGGGCCTCTGATCGATGCATTAGATTCATTTTGTATCTTCAAGATGTACTCACATTATACATACCGTTATCGTCGTCGTTGTCATCATCATGGTCGTCGTCATCATGGTCGTCGTCATCATGGTCGTTATGGGTAATATTGTGGTTGCGTCTGTCGGTTTGATACTGAGTGATGCAGGCAGAGCAGAGTGGAATCTGAGTTTTGGCGGCGTCCCAATCGCAAATGCATTGAATCTCAGCCGAATCCCGTTCGTGCTGAGCATCACAACTCTTGGAGATTCCGACGACGGGACCACAGGCAGGCCAGCAGCGATTAGGGACGTCGTCGTGGTCCAATTTGGATGCGATGGCAACGCTGGCAAGTACGAGGCCGCAAAGAGGGAGGAGTTGCTGGATACGCATGCTTATTGATGTTGATGATTGTAGAGTGTAGATGGATTTGGTTGTTTTTCTAGTTCTGATCCAAATCAATGACGGGGATTCAAAACATATTTATGTTGAAGTTGGTATAATTCTGTTCGCTAAGCCCATTCCAAGCAACCCGGTACTTGCTTTTTCTTTACTTCTTTTTTTTTTTTTTTTTTTTTTTTTTGGCTCTACATGTAGGAGATGATCTTTGTCGGCACTCCCCGCGCATAGTGGGTTCTGAATTAGAGAGTGAACCGAGCCCCCAAGTGTGTCCACCCTTGCCAACCACAAGATCAACTTGAAAAAATGCAATTTGTATGCACCGATCAGCGGAGGACTGCCAATGTTGATTGTGCAAAAGCAGCTGCCTGGTTTATGCCATCAGCCAAGACTGTGCCAAGAGCCTGAATGGTAGTACCAACAAGAGAGAGCTAAAAATATCATGCATTTAGCTTCTGTGTTCTACATGTTATTCTATCAATATGCAGGCATCGTGGCTATGCTTTATCCCTGAACTGTGTGGCTACTTTTGGACATACATTCTTCAGTTACTCCATACTCCTCTTCGTTTGCCAAGTAAGGGTCTTATTCTACCCCGGAGATCCTATATAAGTCCACGGTCTAAGCCACGCTGTGGGGCCAATCGGTACATACACCAGGAAATCCTGCAGCCTTGACTATAGGTTAATCGACATTCTTTGCTGTAGCTATACTGTAGCTATACAGCCAATACACAACTGTAAACTCGAGAATAAAAACCATGTTTGAATCTTTATCAAATGAAAGGTATGCGGGTTGCCGATAGCCGAGCTCATCATTCTGCTATATATAGATAGCCCTGCAGTGTACAGCCGATCCTAAATGTTACGTGGGTTAGTCTCCAGGCTTCAGGATTATTGAAGTCCTTGAAGTAATGCTTGTCGTTAGTCTATCAACAACCTTCGATATTCATGACCTTAATAGGTATACCGTTGAAATCGCCTAAAGTGACTTGGTAGACCGCTAGTCCAGACTAACGCGACTCTCGATATTTTTGCCCAATTTTGAGTAAAATCTGTGGATTGATTCTAGTTTCATCAGTATGTTATACTCAATAAAGTATCACTTCCATCGCCTAGCCCTGGAGGTGCTAGGTAAGCCCTGGAGGGCTTCTACTTAGTAAGAAAGCGTTGAAGAGTACCCCGCAATCATAACATCATTTGGGACATTCCCAAGTAGAACGTACTTTTGCTCTGCTCCCTACACTCAATCAAAGCTAGTCGATTACGAACCTTTTATCCCATTCATCTCTAAAAACAGATGACTCGAACTGTCGGCAAGATGTGGGAAAAGTACTGCCTGCATCCAACTCAGGGCACTGTCTCCACCACCATCCCAGTTTTCGTCTACGGCACAGCCTGGAAGAAAGAACGCAGTGCTGATCTGGTCTATAATGCAATCAAAGCTGGTTTCCGGGCTGTGGACACAGCGGCCCAACCCCGCCATTACCAAGAGCACCTCGTTGGTGATGGCATCCGCAGAGCAATTGCCGATGGGATCGTCGGCCGAGCAGACTTATACGTGAGTGGGAAGTTACTATTTTTAATTTAGATATATTTTGGGGTTTTCAGGCTAACTATACCTAGGTACAAACCAAATATAGTCCTGTCTCGGCACAGGATTTGGCCAACATGCCCTATGATCCGTCAGCGACGGTGACGGATCAGGTCCATGCATCTATCAAATCATCATTACACAACCTTCGCTCAAAAGTTGACCCCGACTCCGTGGATGAGTCCTACATTGACACTGTAATCATCCATTCACCACTGTCAACTTTGGTCCAGACCCTGGAGGCCTGGCACGCCCTTGAAACTTATGTCCCCCGCCACATTCGAAATTTAGGAATCTCCAATTGTACATTGCCTATACTCCGAGAATTGCACACGTCGTCCCAAACAACTGTGAAGCCATCAGTGGTCCAGAACAGATTCTACGAGGACACCCTGTTTGATGTCCCCCTGCGTGCGTTCTGCCGCGAAAATCAGATCATATACCAAAGCTTCTGGACTTTGACAGCGAATCCAGAGCTCGTACGCTCCGAGCTAGTGCAGCAACTTGCTCACCATGTTAACATAACTTCGGCTGCTGCTTTCTATACTCTAGTTATGGGCTTAAAGGACGTGGTGGTGCTGAATGGGACCAAGGATGAGTCCCGCATGAAGGAAGACTTGTCTGCTCCTAAACAGGTCGAGAATTTCACGCAGAAGCAACCTGAGTTATGGCAACAGATTCTGACGGACTTCCGGGGTTTGATAGGGGAATCGAGAATCTAGTTCCACATGAAATGTTGCGCGAACTGTGTTAATGCTTCTGCTGGGGACAGTCGCGTACTGCTTCATGGTAGCGGTTATTGCAAAAAATTCGAATAATTGAGAGGATATGACCATGAAACGGCATATTGAAATTGCTATTGAGAATTCTAAGATCACGGGATGCCCAGGTGTAGGTACTGATACCTGATAAGCACGCGTGATCACATGGCAATATGAGGTACTCATACTCGTCACCATCGCTGACTCAGTCAACGCCTCCCCCGGAACCGGGGCAACTGGGTCTCGCCGCTGAGTAGCATGAGGTTTGATATCTTATTGACAGAATACTCCGTACATTCGTTTTTATTTATCTCCAGGTCTTCCGACGTTGGTGCCCTCTAGTTATAATACTTGGCATATTAACTCATTCACCGCCTAGTGGGCGCTTTCTGCTGAAGCCTCCCGCCTTAATCTGGATGTTGGACAATTCACGCGCCCCCATTGAGCGTCATCTGTCTAGTATTGATCAACTGTTGGTCCTTGATTTGCCGCCTGTTGTCGATTCCAGTAATCTTTTTTCTACTTCGGCGTTGATACGCTAGATTTCGCGCCCTGATCAGCGTCATCCCCAAATTTTTTTTTTCTCTCTCGGTCCAGTGGTCAAAGCCTTCTTGACTCAAAATTAGAAAGCGACTTGGATGAACAACTTCCTGCATACTGAGTTCGCATCCGGTTCCTTTGTCTCCTAGGCAAAATTCCTGCGGTCAACTCAGTCTCCAATCCAGAGACCAAAGAAAATTGAGATACAATTCTATATCAAACCCCATCAAACCCCACCGCGAGATAAGATTCAACCCGAAGCCTTTACACCAGGCTATTCACAATGAGCTCGCAAGGAATGACCCGCAAGAGACCTGCACCGGGAACAGTACCGCCTGTCCATCCTCAGATGAACCCCGTACCGAACTTTCCGACCACTGCGAACCCCGGCTCTCAGCTTTCGAACGATCAATTCTTACAATGGGGCCAGAACCCCCCCGTCAATGCCATCAATACCGCCGCCTTCTCCGATCCCTCCTACAACCCCATAGGCTTTGCGCCACCCCAAGATGTGTCTGCACCGGCTGCGACAGCATCTAACCAGCTCGCCCGCCGACAAGGGAACCAGGTGGTCAGCCGAAACCGTGGCTACGAGCAACCTCCTGCTTCATATGTGGAAAACGGGGGAAACACTGGAAATGGAGAGAGTGGCGCATGGGGGGAGTCTCTAGAGGAGCTCTACCGGCGAGCCTTGACTGCGAAGAGAGATTCACAGGCAAAACGAAAGCAAATCCCGCCTTTTGTACAGAAATTAAGCAGGTACGATATACCTATCACTTTGTGATTAATCATAGGACTAACTGAGAGCCACAGCTTCTTGGACGAATCTAAGAATACGGAATTGATTCGATGGTCCGACGATGGCAATTCTTTCGTCGTCCTAGACGAAGATGAGTTTGCAAGAACATTGATCCCCGAGCTCTTCAAACACAATAACTACGCCTCATTCGTCCGACAACTGAACATGTACGGCTTTCACAAGAAGGTCGGACTTTCCGACAATTCAATGCGCGCCAGCGAACGGAAAAACAAGAGTCCCAGCGAATACGCGAACCCTTATTTCAAACGAGGCCACCCGGATTTGCTATGGCTTATTCAGAAGCCAAAGAACGCCGGAGGTGGCGGGCATGCGAGCAAACCTAGCAAGGGCGGCACGCGCGTGAAGACGGAGGATATTGATGATAACGACATGGACGATTATGTTGAAGAGGGTGCACCAGCTCCTCGCGATAATCGTGCTCCCCGACCACAGCAATTGTCATTAGTCACGGATAGCTCGGTACCCAGTGATCAACTTTCTGGGGTATATCGCGAACTTCAGGCGATTCGTCAACAGCAGTCGATCATCTCAACCACAATCACCAGGCTGCGGAAAGAACACGAGCAGCTCTATGCCCAAGCAGCGAACTTCCAAGAACAACACACTCGCCATGAAAACTCCATCAATGCCATTCTCACATTCCTTGCAACTGTATACAACCGCAGTTTGCAGGGAGAGGGCGGCCCACAAAACCTCGCAAATTCTTTTGCGGGAGCCATTTCGCAGGACCAAGGAAACATTGTGGATGTTGATGATGACTACCTTACCAATGCTCTAGGATCAATGACTAGCCCGAGTGCCCAGAGAACAATGAAGAAGCCGCCGCTACTTTTGAAGGCCCCGCCCGCAGCGGATGCGTACAATACTCGATCCTCCACAATTTCACCATCAGCCAGTGGTTCCTATGACACGCGATCTCGTGGTCATGCTCGGCAACCCAGCGCCAACCAGCATGGCCATGTGGAGGAGGTCTTTGACCACAGTCCTCGCCCAAGTGCTCCAAACGTTTCTCCAGGACAGCCGACAGACGAGAATTCCCCTCAACGGGACATTATGTCTGTAATCCAAAACTCCAATGCACGCAATGGGCTCTCGACAAACTTCTCCGAGTTCCCCAATGTGCTCTCCTCACTCGAAAACCATGGTGGTAATGTTCCCCTCACCGCAAATCAACGCGCCGATATGCTTCGACTCATGGCCAACGAAACAAACTCATCAGAACCCAATGCTGGCGTATCATCTAACAATGCGCTTATTTCGCCGAATCCACCACCCATGCCGCACAACTACTCGGGTAGGCTAGCTAGCACACGACAAGAAATTGACAACCTAGTCAAGATGCAAGCAGAGCAGGATCGTTCCGTCCAAAACTTGACAAGTCTTCTCCAGCCGCTGAGCCCGAATGGTACCATCCCCGGTATTGACAGTGAGGGCAATGTACCTCCTCCGCCGCTTGATCTCGATCAAATCTTCAACAACGACTACTTCACCGATATTGGAGATGCAGGGTCCGATATCAAGAAACAGACTGAGAATCCAATGAGCCACTTGGGGACAGGTCAAAATACTCACGATCCTGTGGGGACCACCCAAGGCGATGACGGAGACACCAACGACCTGTTCGATTTTGATCACATTCCTGCCGAGCCTGATCTCTTTGAAACCCCCCATAATGGGCAGGGCGATCCCGCCTACAACTATGGTTTCGACCGTGTCGGCTACGATGAATCTGGGCGTGTCATCGAACAGCTAACGGATAGCGAGACCACCAGTCCCGCGGCCACGGAGAATCTAGGTGAAGGTATAAATGATGGTGGTAGCGCGACGAAACGGCGCAGAAAGGCGTGATTCTGTCGACGGCGCAAGGAATACCAGACGGAGAAGGTTGGCAAACACGGGTTAGGGCTTGGATGGAAACAAAACTTCCCGGCGTACAATTAGGCGTTTTCCTGTTGATATGGGGTTTATTCACCTGCCTGGAGAAATTTGACTAGGCTGTAAAAACCTATTATGATCCATGAATGATCCAATTACTGGAACTTTAATGAGATACCTTTGCTTTACCTTCTCTTGGATATAATACGTAGTATGATGATTTTGGACATTCTTTGGATCCTTTATCGACGCATTTCTAGCCAACTAATTGAGGGTACAAGTTCTCGTTATTACTCTACGGAAAGACTATTCGTTCTCAGCAATTCCAGTCCGGAACATCGATATTGAAACGCCAAATGTTTCGAGATAAGTGGATACTGGAGTCCACGGTTACCCGCAGATCACCCGAGAACTAAGATCTACAACGTTCTCGACCTTTTATCTACGATATATATACGCCTGCATTGTCTGAAAGAGACCTATATTTAACTTACCTGAAATTCCAAGCAGAATATCGATTGGAAAGATCACATTGAAAAGTAAACTCGAGATGAGATTTATACGACAGGAAGCTTCCAACGAAACCCCGTGTACTTTATCATTATGGTATGCTGCTTTCAACCATCATTGGATATACGGATACAATGAGGTTGGCACAAAAGAACGAGGTGATTATAATAACCAATCCTAGAAGTCTCTGGAGATGCCCCTGTCCTAGAACTAACTTTGTAGCACCTGGCTAAAAAAGTATCCGACAAGAGAGAGTCCGGTATATATACGGGATCAAAATATTGATAGGCTAGGATGGTATATATGTGTTTGTCTAGGATTATTGAAACAAATGACATTAGAAGAATAAGAATATTCAGCGCCCTTTACCCCATTCCAAGTCACCCACTCGCTCCCGTTTACGCTCACGCTCTCTATCGCGCTGGAATCCCCGCTTGCGTCCAATCACTTCCTTCTCTCGCTCACGAGGATCAATCACCATAAGTGAGTCTGCCTCGCCTCCGTGCTCGCGCTTCCAATTCAAGTCTTTGCCTAGGGTATCTTTCCCAAAGCGGAGTTCGTGCGAGAGCCAACCTCCGTCTTGTTGTTCGGGGTCTTCCGCCTCTGCCTCCGGGTCGTCCCATGCTTGGCAGGATTGGCAGTTTGCAATGAAGTGCAGGTCGCAGAGTTGGGCCTCTTCGTCTTCTTCGTCGTTTTGATTTTCGGTGTCTTTGTCGGCGTGATTTTTGTTATGTGATGCTGTGGTAGTTGGCTCGGGTTTAGCACCTTCGAGCTTAGCCTTGAAGGCGTTGAAGAGCTGCAATGCTTCTCGCTCAGCTGCGCTACTGGGCCCTGTGCCGTTGCGACTTGACCCATTTGCAGTCCCTGGAGGTGGCCGTTTCCGTCCTCGAATTGAGGTCTCAGGGATCATGGCTTCGAGGGCGGATTTCTTTCGGCCTGTGTCCTTAGGGCCGACGTCGACATCGCGGCGCATTGACGCCATCACAGCCGCAATCTGAGCGTTTGTCCGCGACAGCTTGGACTCTTTTGCGGCTGGGGCATCTGGGGTCGGAGACCGAGTAGGCGACTCAGGGTCAGGGAGGGGGAGTTGTGCTTCTGGCTCTGGTGACTTGGGGCGCTTTTTACGCTCTGTAGACGGTGATCGATCTGGAGATAGCGAGCGGGGCCGTTTGCGCGGCTGCGATGGGGCATCTGCTCGGGGTTTGGGTTTGGGTATTTCGGACTTTGGACCTGGCGCATCGACGACCAAATTGGTGTTGAATTTCGGTTTTGCTGGGCGCATGGGCATTTCTTCGTCTCCGTCGTCTCCGAAGCTCAGAAGCGTCTTCCCGCCTTTAGGGACTTTCTTCTTTTTCTTGGGCGCACCCTTCTCTGCCTTCTCGGCGGTTGAAATTGTCTTTCTGTCCTTTAACTTGCCTTCCAATGGCCCCAGTTCTCCTACCTCGCAGGATGTCACCTTGATGGGATAAACAGGGCGCTCAGTGCCCGCAATACGCTCTGCGTCTGCAATTTTCAGCACATTGTAGATGCTGTCCCCTTCCAGTCTCCCGAAAATTGTACATTGTCCATTCAACTCACGCTCCGTGTTCGCTAGCGTGATAAAAAATTGACTGCCATATGTCCCGTCCTCGCTCTTGGCCATTCCTAGCAAGCCACGTCGATTGAACCGTAGCCGACTGTGCAGTTCATCGCGTAGGACCACGCGCTCGTTCGGGTCCCGAGCTTCAGGGTCAAACTCAAATTCCGGGTATTCGTAAATAGAAGTTCCGCCGGAGCCAGTCCCGGTGGGATCACCACCCTGGATCACAAAATCGGGGGCCACTCGATGGAAGATTGTGTCGGCATAGTAGTTGTCCTTGCAGTGTTGGAGGAAGTTCTTGCAGGTGAGAGGGGCCTGATTTGCGAAGAGCGCGATCTGGATAGGGCCAACCGTCGTGTTGAGCGTGGCTGACGCAGTGGGATTGGGCTCGCTGGCGTATTGGGAGGACATGGTGGGTTAACAAGCTACCGGCTTACGGCGCGTGCCACAGGTGAGGACAGAGCGAGGAGTGTATTCGGGGATATGGACACCCCTCTTGAGTGTTGCGATCGAATGGGCTGGTTTCTCCGATCAAAGCTCAAAAGAAACGTCATGTCACGTGATGTCGATCTAGCCCTCATTTACAAGGACATTGTTTAGGAAAATAAAATTAATTGAAAACAAAAATAAGCATCATTTCTTTTGAATTCAACACTACATGACAAATTCTGCATATTTCCCGCAGTGTCGGAAGGAAACCCAACGCATCTGTGGCTAGCTTGGCAACATGAGATAGGAGGTTGAGCGTTGGGCATGTAATTTGTTGCATTTGGGGATGATCAATAGCAGCAAGAGCCAAGAAATCTTCTGGTTGGTATGCTGAGCACATGTTGAGAATCCCCATCGGGCTTGGTGTTGGTGGCAGTGAATACTGGGAGGTGGTTGAATGATTCAAGGAAAATCAACTCCCCCGGCTCACCGAATCGTCACTGCGAGATATTGTTTTGCGAGGAGATATTTGGTATCGACATGGATTTTGTCGGTTGCAACTTTGAGCCTTGAGTCAGCCATTGAGAGGCCAACCCTGGAAGCACATGTCGGCTGGAGACGATCCAAGAGAATGGGGTATTGAGATCATCACTACCGGAGAAGACATGAACAGTCGCCAGTGAGTCGCATGGGAGGTAGTCCAGTGTTGTCGCGTAGGGTGAGATTACTGATAATCGTCATGATGCGTCGCACATGGGGTATTGCTGGATGGAACCCAGCGGAGGATCAAGCTTCAGTTCCAACAAGCCAGATTCACACCGGTTGCCCCTCTAGTCGAGGCTGTGGAACAATCATCTGCTCTTGCATTTGGCACTGTTCCTGGTGCTTCTCCCGCTCCGAAGCCCTGACATGGAGTCCTAACTTAAACCGCAGACGGCGCAAAGTGCGTTCAGAGATACCATAACCTTCTTGTTGCAACATGTCCAGCATAGCCTTATCGGTCAGCTTATCCTGTATGAAAAGCATCTTAATGCGTGCATGTAAAGCCTCGTCGCCTGTCGTTGTCCGATGTCGCTTGCGGATGCCCCACTTGCGAAGGCGGGACTGGATGGTTCGTTCTTTGACCTGAATATTATGACAGGTTTCGAGCGTGCGGCTGATAGCATCGCTACTGATGCCATGGTGGTAGAGAGTGATGATATCATCCCGGTAGGGTTCTAAATTGATTTGTTGGCGAGGCATTTTGGGGTTGAGCAGAGCGAAGAGAAGTGAAGACAGTGGAGGAGCTGAGGTGTTGTTGGCTCAAGGCGGTGAATCTGCGGGATGTTCACTTCAAGGTTGTCTTGATCTGGATGTCGTGATGTTCTTCCACATTGCAACATATTATTGGAACATACCATGCTCATAGAATTAGACAGGGATTGAACCTGAAAATTGAACCAAATTGAATGATATAGGTTGCAAAGATCCCGATACAGTTACATGCAATATGCTAATTAAGCCTCCCTGATGCCATCCATGTTGGATTGTATAGTTCCAAATCAGAATCAAGTTATTATTGCATCTTCATACATTCATTACGCATGGTGAATCATACCAAACAACATATCAAGCAAGTCACAGACTCGGGATTCACCCATTTGTCTGATCCATTTGGAGAAACCAACCGGTTTAAACCTTTTTCTCCGCCTCCACAGCAGCAGCCGAGCTCATTATTCCAGGGCTAGCCTTGCTCCGCTTCGCAATGCGGAATCCACCAAGTAGGAAGAAAATTGTCTGTAGACCAAGAATCACTGCGAGGGTAACCATAGCACCAACAACACCTGCCACAGCGAGTGACATTCCCGAGCCACTAGTGCTAGAAGTGCGAGCAGACCCGGAGTCGCTGCTGGTGCTGGCCGAACTGGCGCACTTGCCGTCCGTGTTGCCGCACATGGTGCACCACTCGTCATTGGAAGTAACGGCGATATCTTTGGTCTTTGAGGCAAAGTCGTCCCAGGGGAGAAGGTCGCTCGACTGGCCGTACAGTGGGTATACAGTCGGCTCAGATGAGCCCGTAATGGTACCGTTGTGGAACATGAAGCGCACGCTGAGGTCGGACTTGTCAGTTGGGAACTCGGTGCCACTGGCGTTCGTCACCAATTCGAAGACCATTGACGAGGCGTAGTCGGGAATTCCGGTGAAGTCCACGGACGCAGCAGGCATCTTCAAAAGACCGAAGAGAGAAAAAATGGTGCCATAGGAGCCGAATCCGACGTTCAGCTTGGTATTGCCCTTGGTGGTGATGGTTTCATTGAGCCCGGCTAGGATTTCGCCTGCCAGAACGGCACCGTCAATAGCGCGCACTTTATCGGAGGAGTTGTAAGCCAGGTTAAATTCATGGCTTCCAGCTAGAGCAATCAGCTGGTGGTAAACCTCATCGGTCAGATCTGACCTGTGAGAGAATTGACTGGTAGAGTTATGGATTTTGCCGACGTTCAAGTAATCGAAGATAGTATAGGCGTTTTTGAAAGTCATATCGGACGGGGCAAATGCACCGTCTAGCATGGGCGAAAGCGATTGGTAGAACTCTTTGGTTGAGGATAGCAGCGAGGTGTACATTTCGGAGGAAAAGTAATTGTTGCTGCTCACGGTGGCTTTCTGACATCCACTGGAGCCCTGCAACCAAGTGGAATCCTCGGCGTTCTTGCTTGTAGTGGCAGGTATCAGCTGAATGAGCTGATAGCCGTTCAATGGTGCCTCGACCGAGGTTCCATTGCCCAGGGTCTGGGAAGCCACTTTTCCCACGGGGGGATATACGCCCTGCAGGAAGCCAGTGGCCGAGTTTTGCAGTACGGTATCCGAGGGAGAAGAGGCACTGATCTGCTTGGGCCTGACCACATCGGCACTTATGCCCTCGATCTGCTTAGAAGAGCTCGACGAGATGTATCGGTCGTTGTAAAAAGATCCCGAATCAAATACCTCCCGGTAGCCCAGGTCGGTCAGTTGAGTGTTACCAAAGACCTTTGGTGTACGATCTCCATGACGGGCGAAGATATACGCACCGAGCACACGCTCAGCATCAACAATAGGGGACAAAGATGCGGCCAGCAAAAGGCCGGACTGGATAGAGTACCGCATCGTAAATTAAGGAAGCAAGCAGAGATATGAACAAAATAGAAAAAGAAAAATCCCCGGGCGCAAGCTTCTTATCTGTCAAAATGTCCAAGTTTTGTTCTAAGCTTGCGGGCAAGACCAATTGACTCTTCCCCTCTCTTCAGGGTCTCTCCTTCAAACCCTTACAATACGCTTGTCAGCTTAGCGGGGAAACCCGATAAGTGGACTACGGTTCTGAGAATAGTCTAATGGAAGAATTTCATAGGTAAAAGTCATTGGCCAATACTAACAAGGTTGAAAAGTCAACTAATTAGCTAATTAATTAAAACCACCTGGGCATCTCCGCGGTAGCCCACGGAGTTGCGATAGCGGAGAGCGGGCACCATCTGGGCCGGGTTGGACCTAGAACAACCTTGGCAATATAAGTCTGTGTTTACTACGTCTCCATGATAATCGGGTAAAGTATTCAAAAATGAAAGTCTCCTTCCTTTTCGCCACCAGACTCCAACCTAGATTACTACATTTATATCGTGATCTGAAAACCAGAGAATGTTGGGATCATATCGCTCGTCCTTTATGCCACCGTAACACCCTTGTCACTCATTAGCTCACATCCATTTCGCACCACCCCGACCAGCCCTCCAGTCTGAATAGCTTCCGAACCGCCGCCTGCAAGTCGCCATTCAATCTCGGCCAGTCCCTCAAGCCATGTGATACGTGTTTGAGCGGGAACTTCGAGCTGTTGGAGTTGGTCTGCTAGTGCGGAGAGGATGTCGGCCAAAGCCAACCCCTTGGTGACCTTGAGGGTTTGTACGGTGTTCAGACAGGAAGTGACATCGCTGGTGGAGAGGATGGTAGTCATGATTTCTTGAATATCGGACGGGTGCGGGGCGGCAATGCAGTCATAAATCGTTGCATTGGTAACAGTCTCGGGCTCGGGACGAGGGGCTTTAGGAGCGTCTCTCATCGGCAGCGGGATACCTAAAAAAAAAAAAAAAAAAGATAACATTGGTCAATTAGGGTGGGCGTGAGGGACAAAGGAAATGAACTTACTGCTGGCAAAGCATGCCTGAAGCACGTTTAGGGCTCGTCGCATATCACCTTTGCTCAGCGTCACTAAACTATCAACCGCTTCGGGCTGTATCCTGACACCCTCGTTCTCAATGACCTTGTCAACCAAAGTCCGAATATCGACTTCCTTCAATGGACTAAATCGGAATCGAGTACACCGGGACAGGAGTGCCGGGGACAGCTTATGTGTGTAGTTGGCAATAACGCAGAATCGGGTATTGGCCGTGTAGCGCTCCATGATACGGCGGAGGGCCATTTGTGCGGTCGAAGTCATTGCATCGGCTTCGTCTAGAATGATAAGCTTGAAGCCCGCCAGGGGGGAGCCGGCAGTGCCTTGGGGGGCCATATTGAAGATCTGTTTGGTGCCTGTTGGTGTTCACGGTAAGCTTGCAGTCCAACCCGAGAAAGCTCTAGGCCACAAACTTGCAAAGGTCTTGATTTGTTCTCGAACAACATCAATACCACGATCATCACTTGCATTTAGCTCCAATACCATCTGTCGCATGTTTTTGGTGCCGTAGATCCGCCGCGCCAGGGCTAGGATGGTGGAGGTCTTTCCGGTTCCTGGGGGCCCGTAGAGGAGGAGATGGGGAAGCCGCTGTATGAACGTGTTAATCAGAGCCTATCGTACATCTATCATCATAGGCATTTGTTACATTTGTCTCCACGAATCGGTTGATAGTCGCGAGAATGTCTTGATGGCCAGAGACATCATCTAGGCTGCTTGGTCGGTATTTCTCGACCCTGACAAGTTTGTTAGTGATAAAAAAAATACAATTGATGCAATTCTCATACTCACCACGGCAAATTATCTTGAGCTTCGACCGGTAGATCGGCGACAGTTCTCTTTTTTCCACTCGCGTTGTCGGAGCTAAATTGCACGTCCTTGGGCGCATCCACGTCCATTTGATCCTCGTAGTCTGACATGACGAAGATTTCTTGATTAGAGATCAATAATCAATATCAACAGCCGTATCAAGAAGAGCAGGTAAACTGTGAAAAGTGCCCAAATGGGTTTGACGCGTGGAGCGCGTAAAGAGGCTCGGGGCGGAAAATCATGGAGCTTGGGAGGACTCCACAGATGACATCCCTCAACTGCCTAACCTCCAACGAGGTCAACTTGTCCCCTCCACGGTCTCATTAATTGAACTTCCTACAATTTAATTCTTTCACGCATTCAGAATGCCTGTATGTTTTAATACCTTCACATGTGCCCTAAAGCCCCTTATTAACCATCAATGCAGGCATACCACTCCATCTTCCTGGAGGACCGCGATGTCCCCGTGATAGGTAGGTGACTCCTATCAAGTCTAGCGCAGGGGTTCCTACGCTATAAATCGGCATTTCAAGGACCAAATTGACCATAGAATGTCTCCTGACTAGGAAACTTCCCTATTCTTCCCCTCCGCACCCGTACTCGTGGCCCCGCATACACATTGCCCCCGCTTCCCAACACCGACGACCTCGATGTGTCGCCAGAAAGTGAATCATATGATTGTGTCGATGAAATCCTATCGCTGTTCCGTGCCAATGTCTTGTTCCGCAACTTCGAGATCAATGGCCCCGCGGACCGCATGCTCATTTATGGAACTCTGTTTATTAGCGACTGCCTCGGAAAGGTCAAGCCAACTATGAACGCCCGTGATGCGGAGAAGGTAAATTTTGACATTATATATTAAACTCCCGATATAGCAGAACTATCATTGACAATCGTATTTCCAGGCCCTGACCAACGCCGCCCTCGACAGCTTTGCTATTCCCGGTGATGTGTCATTCCCGCTTAACCAGGCCTTTGAGCCCCCGCGCGACCGCCAGGATGCCGAGACTCTTCGCCAGTGAGATTCTAGCTGCTATACATTGCATATCAATTTTAGCTAACAGGGGTTTGCGATTCTAGGTTCATCTCGCAGGTGCGACAGGAGATCGCCATCCGCCTACATGCTAGATTATACCCCGGTGGAGTCGGACCATCAAAGGTAAGAGGGAGCAAAGAATAATCTCTTGATTTATCCCAAATACTGACCAATTTTAGTTCTGGCTGAGTTTCACGAAGAGGAAGTTCATGGGAAAGAGTCTCTAGACGACGAGCGTTGCTGTATATTGTTTGATGAAATTCAGCGCATGAATGAATTTGATACTTGATTCAAATCCACACCGAGCGTTTTGTGTAACGACCAGGGAGGCTTGGTTGTGTATACTTACATATCTGGCAGTCAAACTCGTGCTCACCTAACCCTAGATAGATGCCCAGTATGACCAAACAAGGGGTAGCAACTGGGCAGCTAGAGTAAGTCGGATCATACGAAAAATAAGAAGCAAGTTGTTGTAATTGTACAATGAATTCGATCTATTTTTGAGGTCGTTTATTCGTGAAACCTAGGACGTCATCTCCACATCTCGATCACTGACCGGGGTAGATGTCGTTTCCACCTTCCGTCTCTTGCGAACGTTGCCAGCTGCCTGGATATTTTGTGTGGTGGGAAACACGCGAATGCCATGGAAGAGATATCCCTCTGCGCCACCACGTCCCGTCATGAGGGGGTGGGTTCGACCAGGCAGAACTTGCCAAGGGCGCACACGCGATGTTTGTAAGGTAGGTGGCAGAAGAATTGTCGGATCAACCACAAATTCTTCATGAAGTGAGGACAAATCAACGGCCTCTCCCTCGGAACTCTGCGATTCTAATTCTCGCTTTTTGTTGATAAATGCGGTCCTCCGAGCAGTGGAGTACATGTCTGTCAATTCAACCAGAGACTCGACCGTCGGAGAATACACGACGACAGGGGCAGACCCCGCAAGGAGCGGGACCATTGTCTTTAGGACGCTTGCTGGCTCCAGCAAGGTGGACACGATCAGACCGTCAAAGTTACCGGCCCGGCCCTCATCCACAACTGCTTTAACTCGCCCCCATCGATTGCGCTTGTGGTAATACGCCGTGCGCTTGCTTTGTTTAAGCTCTGCCAATTCTTCTGCGGGTATGACGGGTGGTTCGTTGGCGTAGAGTGGATCGGAATTGGGGTCAGCCAACTGCATCCAGGAAATTGATTTGAGATGGGTGTGGAGTGGGTGGGATTCATCGGGGTTATTGGTGTCATAGCCAAAGAATTTCAAGAGTGACAAGTTCGGTTGTGAGTATGGGTGAAAAACGGTGATGGTGTTCGTAGTAGCGGACATTAGCTGGGGACGTATGCGCCGGGGCTTTGAGGGGCCAGTGGTATGTTCGGATTCTGTAGCATTGGGGATTGGAGCATCTTGCTCCTCTGCCGGCTCTTCGTCGGCATCGTGAGGATATAAAATTCCCATGCGCTCAGCCATCGCGGCAACAACAAGTCCGCCAGTCTCATCAACGATGGCATAACGTCCATGTGGTTTCATCCCCTCACCCACCTCAACATTTCCACTGTGATGTACATTACCCCAGCACCCGATGAGACCGATGTGTTCATCCCGTAGCTCCATGGACTTTTGCGCATCCCGTTCTTCGATCAAGTAATTGGCGAGAAGGCCAACGTCCAAAGGGAGAATGGTAAACCGCTTCAGATACTTCTTGCGTTTCCGCAGCGTGTATTTGGCAAGAGAAAATGCAGTCTTCTGGTCTATTGTGCTGTGCGATTCCAAGAGCTTTGCGACAATGTCTTTCCCCGCGCCACCGGCCTCTCTCTTCAATTCTTCAATTTCTTGCAAAGTCAATTTTTGAGAGGAATTTTCGTCATTGATTTGACGATTTGTTCGCATCGGCATTCCATTTTCGCCAGTATCCACGTCGTCACCCTCCCCATCTCCCTCCCCGTCCGCGAGGAGGGTCTCCGCATGCAACTCGGTTGCTGAGACGACACGTAGTTGGTGGCCAGCGTCGTCGCATGCATCGAGGATTTCAAAGGTAAAATAGAACGGTCGTCCAATAATCTGATTGGCGGCAAAGTTACCGAATCTACCCAAATTGACGATTCTGGTCCAATGTTAATTCTTGCGATGGAATCTTTCCCGCATAGAGCAGAGAGTACTTACGTATCGGGGACGATCTGAATGAGTCTTAACTGGTCCGACTGGAGCTTGATAGCCACGAACTGGCCCGGGCGAATATAGGAATGCATGATGGCTATGGAACAGCTGTGCCTCGAGCTCTTCCACAAAATTATTCTGGCGACTTTTATGGTCGATAGAATTACAGCCAATCAGAGGATGAGGATACTCACAGCCGGGTGGATAGATAATCCGTGATATTGATGCCTCATGTGTCTGTGCCTGAACTTTATGCCTTAAATTACTGGCTCCCCGCCTCTTCGTCATAAGTCTCCAGAATACCGCTCCATACCGTACTAAACCCAGTACTCTACCCTAGGTCCACTCGTACGAGTGAATAATAAAGTAAATACACATACTGGCGTCGGAGCTTCCCCCAGGTCAACCCGCGATCGTAGTGGATCTGCAGAATCCAGAATCCGGGTGCCTGGCGAGCGAGAGAGTCTGAGATCATCATCCACCTCCGTCATTGCCTTGTTCAACACAGCTTTCTCTCCATCTGGGGCATGATATTATTTTCGAGCTCAAGCTAAAGGCTAGGCTGTTGCCCATCACTGACGTATACGTGTATACGGGCATTTCAGCCCCTACCGCCCCTACGCAAGGCGTTTTCCTTATACCTAATGGCTCATTGTTATTATTTCGAGGTTACATCCTGAATTCACTCTCAGATCGAAAATACAAACTCTTCTGAGTGTATTCTTCATTGACATTGAGTGCTTTATAAGCCTTCCCATTTCTATAGAACTATACGCGAACTCAAACCTTCGCCCCCTCCGCCTCCCACAAGGTCAACGGACGTCTTCATGGGCCTGCGCAAACAGCCCCCACCGCGTCTAGAGAACATTAGCAAGTCAAATTCTCGATCGGATGCACGCTCGCCCAAATCACCTAACTCTGCATCCTCTCACCGCCTGACTCGTTTGAACCGATTTCCTTCTGAGGACTCTATCTACTCCCCCGACCTCAACACTTCACCTGCGTTTGCCCTGATGCCACTTGAAGAGGCACAGCGGTCGCCGGTGGGGTCTTCCTCCAGCCAACCACCGAACTCATGGCCAGACAATAACGGAAGGCGGGATGATGGCCGCTCCGGTCAGTATCATCAGTATGAGGGAGCATGCAAGGAACATGCAAATACCAACGGGCACTGGATTCAACCTACGTTGATGGTAGGTCAACAAACAGGAGCGGCCGAGAATGTCTGTCGGCCAACGACCGATGCCGGTCAGGCTTCAACTGGAGAGTTACCTGTACAACTACAGTCGAATAACCCATTCTTGAAGCCTAGGTCGGCAGAGCATACTCAAGATCTTTTGGATCGCAATGAATGGGGACGTAATTCACATGCGACTTCAAACAGTGACGCATTGAGCCAATGTACGACATTGTTTGCTTCTGAAAGTTTCTCAAAAATCATATTTGTTGCTAACAACTTACAGCCGAAGGGTATATTCCAATGACTGCACGGCTCTCTCTTTTAGATGAGCCTCAACAAGAGGCACCATGGGCCGACGCTCCTCGTTCTCATTCCCAGCAACGCCCTGTGTTAGACGGCCATCACTTCGATGATAACTCACCCTGGGGGTCTCAACAGTCCATCAAGGTCTCAGCCCCCCAAGAGATCTACTTACAAGAAGTGCAGTCCAATCCATATGTCCCGGCTGTTGCTGTGCAGCCGTCTGAACTATCTGATGAGGAATACAATGCCCATGCACAATATAAACCTTCATCCAATGCAGGAAGGCTCGGATCGGATGCTGGAATCAATACTCCATCTGTTGCTCTCTCTAGTCGAACCTCTGCCACATCTCATGAACTAATTGATTTGGGTCTGCTGGGTGCCACTAGCAATTCGGGGGTTGAGACCGGGTCTCATGCTGCGTCTTCAGTGTACTCAGAACCATTGGCGAACGGAGCAAAATCATTACCAGAAAAACAAGATCTCGCAGTTTCCGTGGTGCAGCAGCCACAACAACCCCAAGTAGTCCCCATATTGTCTGCTGCAGAAGCTGCACGGCAAAAGGAGCAAAGATCAGAAACCTATACCATTCGACACGTCCGATGGACCGATCAAAGTGGTCAACTGCTCGAGTCCCCGATTTTGGTCCAAAATCAAAACGGACCCTGTCCACTGCTGGCTCTAATAAACGCATTGGTGCTGCGAGCGAACCCCAACGCTCACCCGCCAATCGTTAGAGCTCTGTCAACCCGCGAGCAAATTTCTCTGGGTCTGCTAATCGAGGCGATGTTTGAAGAGCTAACAACATGCCTGGGCCCTGATGAGGAGTTTCCAGACATCGAAGCACTCACTCAATTTTTGACAATGCTGCATACGGGCATGAATGTTAACCCACGTTTGACAATGGTGAGTACATGTGATGTATCCGTCAAGGGTCACTTATACTAACGTAATGTTAGGATTCTACTGAAGGATTTGGTACTTTCCTGGAAACCGGTGATCTTCGACTGTACAGCACCTTTGGCATACCATTGATTCATGGCTGGCTAGCCTCTTGGTCTAGTCCTACTCATGCCGCAATGTCCCGCACTGCTCAGTATTACGAGGATATTCAAATGCTGCCCTTTCGCAGACAAGAGTTTGAGGAACGGGTGGCGCGAGGCGAGGCACTTAAACCCGAGGAAGAAAATGCCATGGCAGATATCCAAACCATTCAACGATTTGTGGAAATTGAGAATGCGACACAATTAAGCCCATTTGGCTTGACACAGCTTTCGACTAAGCTTACGCCCGGATCTGTCTCGATTCTTTTCCGCAACGACCATTTCTCGACTCTATATAAACACCCACAATCCCACCAACTCTACACTTTGGTTACCGATGCTGGCTATGCAGGCCATGCTGAAGTAGTTTGGGAGTCTCTAGTCGATGTGACAGGGTTCAACACAGAATATTACTCTGGCGACTTTCGCCCCGTGGGCGCTGGTCCTTCAACCCCATCTGGCCCCAACCAGGTCAGCCCCCGAATATCGAACGAGCCAGTCACTCATCCTCCAAGTGCAAACGAAACATCGAATTCCCCCGAGCCGACTCAAGAACAGAGTGATGCGGACTATGCATATGCGCTCTCACTTCAATTCCAAGAAGAAGAGCGACGCGAAAATGCTAGGAATGAGCAGGCTCGCGATCGTCACACATCTGCCTTGAGTAATTCTTCCACTCGACCATCTCCTTCACCTCGCATGAGCAATGTACCTAACCGATCTTCGAGCGTTGCCAATACGATTAATCCTCTGCCTAGACCTCAGCCACAACATGGGCCTGAGCTTGAGGACCCAAACGCCCCTCCTCCTCCCTATGAGCAGGCTGCCAGCGGGCCGCGCTATTCGCCCCCTGACAGAAGATCATACGGCGGTGCTGCAGGAAATCAGTACCCTGGCAGCCGGAATTCGCGGAATCGAACCTCACAGTATTCTCACCGGCCGCGCCCGTCTGGGCGCGCAGGGGATCACAATGTATTGGAGACAGAACGGAACAAAGATTGCATAGTGATGTGAACAATGCAAGACCTGCAAATGATGAGAGGCCCTGATACTCCCTTTTTTTTTTTTTTTTTTTTACGCCAATGCGCTTTATGATGAAACGAATATGACGCACCTACTCCATACATACTCCGTATAACGTATTTCACCCCCAAGCGGCGCACCCCAAAATACATAGTAAAAGTGATAAATTCCTCACATATCTCAACCATCAATTGAATTCCATTACTTCCCGATAACAATTGATAAGCATTTTTAGTATTACATCTCTGTTTCGAAAGAATCAAAAGCTTGCATTAGTATGGTATCGAAAATTACACCGCTAAACTCCAAGAAATATATATATCTCAGATACTAGTTTGTTAGGTTCTCCGAAACTCCGTAAATTGGATAGCTATCATATAAAAATAACTAGGCTATAAGGAAAACTTTGTATAGGTAACCGTTGTTGCGATATCATGTTGTAATTTATCACTTTTACTATGTGTTTTGGGGTGCGCCGCTTGGGGGTGAAATACGTTATATTGTAGAGAACTAATATGTCTTTGATTATAATCTGTATATGAAACATTAGTTTCTTATTCATTCTCCTCATTCTCCACGGGGTTATAAAAGCCAGCACGGAGCTTCTCCGCGCCTGATAAACAGATATAAGCCAGGTGACATGTGAAATTCCTACCTCTTTTCGGAATTTTCCGCATTGGTTACATCTAATTTGCCCTAAGTCTGGGGAAATTAAAGGACTCACCTTGTATTTGTGGGGAATAGGCTTCTTGATTGGAGGGATTATTATGCCGCCTTTTCCCAGCTAGTCCTCCTCCGTGAAAGAGTAAACTACGCAATCTATTACCATCTATGCCAAGCATACGCCAAAATCATCTACAGGCTCTTTAGCCTAAGTCAAGGGTGGCGTTTTGGCACGCTCTACTCCGTAATGTCGTGAAGAACACAACCCCGGTCCGCCGGCCCGCAAGTTTGGCTGGGATTAGGGCTTAGTATAAAGTTACTATGATCAAATTGGCCATAAATATCCTTGAGGTGCCGTTGATTTTGTGCAGCTTTACGAGTCAAGATCTATCGCTATCCTCTGATAGGAACTCTTGCCATGCAGGTTCTCCTTTCTGGTGCCCTCGTGGCTCTCGCCGGGATAGCCCAGGCTGCCACTACCACTCTGACAACAATCACCAAGTCCACAGTGCAGGTAGCTACTGCTGCCTCGGGACAAGCTGTTTGCACTGGAACATTTAGTGCAATCTCAGCTTCTGATTTTGTGTCGAATCTGCATCCTGGTTGGAATCTGGGAAATACCCTTGATGCTGTCCCCGATGAGGGATCTTGGAATAATGTCCCAGTTGTGGCGTCCACATTTGATACCGTGAAGGCTGCCGGCTTTAAGAGTATTCGAATCCCAGTTACCTGGGCTTATCACTTTACCGGAAGCTCACCTGATTGGACTGTTGACCCAATCTGGTTGCAGCGAGTCTCTGATGTGGTTGATATGGTTGTGGCCCGTGGACTCTATGCCATCGTTGATGTGCATCATGGTATGCTATATGAACTTGTATCCAAGATTGACCTTGGCTGACATGAAAATAGATTCATGGGTTTGGGCCGATGTTACCCAGTCTGGAGCCAATCTTACCATGATTGAGGAGAAGTTTTACAGCCTCTGGTATCAAATCGGAACCAAGTTGGCCTGCAAATCCAACCTTATTGCCTTTGAGCCTATCAATGAGCCTCCGTGCAATACTGCGGCCGACGGTACCGAGATCAACAAACTGAACAAGATCTTCCTCCAGGCTATTAATGATGCTGGTGGGTTCAACTCGCAAAGAGTTGTTACTCTAGTCGGGGGTGGTCAGGATAGCGTCAAGACTGCAGACTGGTTTGTTGCACCTTCGGGATTTTCAAATCCATATGCTATTCAGTTCCACTACTACAGTCCCTGTGAGTCATATATGAGTGCATACAAGGGGTTGAGTTGAGCTGACTGGGTGGCTGGCTTCCAGACGACTTTATTTTCAGCGCTTGGTAAGAGTACAGACCACAGCATGTTGATATTATTTACTGACTCCAAACAGGGGAAAGACAATTTGGGGCTCTGACAGTGACAAGACTACTGTACAATCTGACTTCCAGCGGCTGCGCAACGCTTTCCCTAATGTACCTCTTCTTTTGGGTGAATATGATGCTTCACCCACTAACACCGAGCCCGCTGCTCGATGGAAGTATGTTGACTTCTTAATTCAAACTGCAGCCAGTCTCGACATCTCCTGCGTTCTGTGGGATAATGGATTAGACCACTTGGATCGAACCACCGGAGCCTGGCGTGACCCTAACTCGCTCTCCATCATCGCAAAATCCACCGCGTCTACTGCAAATAGTTTGCCAGATAGCACAGAGGACGCTTCTGCAACTATCCAGTCATCTTCGGCTTATATTTTCCATCAGTATGGAACGGCCGTGGCAGCACAGACTCTTCCATTTATCTTCAAGGGTAACACCCTCTCGTCAGTCAGTGACTCTACTGGCTCGACATTAGCGTCGGGAACAGACTATTCTGTTTCGGGTGCGAACATAATCTTCACAGCTTCGTACTTATCCAAGCATCTTTCGTCCACGACAGCACCGGGTGTCATTGTTACTCTAACCCTGAGATTCTCGGGGGGTGACTCGTCCCCTGTTATCCAAATTGTTCAATGGAAGGCTCCAACTCTGTCGTCCACATCGGCAGTGGCCTCGTCTGTCTCTGGCTCTGACCTATCAATTCCAATCACCTGGGGTGGGCTGCCAACTGTCGCTGCCGTAAAGGCTTTGACCAATGGTGGAACATACCTAGTCGATGACTGGACGGCATCACTGGGTCCTATCCAGCAAGCAAGAGCTGTAAGCTGAGCTCTATCCCCCCTTGGGTACCTCTTGCCAATACTATATACTAATGTATCGATCTAGACCTACAGCAACCAGTATAACTGGGACGACTCACATGTAATCCTCACTTCATCTGCAATTAGCTCTGTGATCTCCGCTGGGCAATCGACCGTGTTCACCTTCGAGTTTTTCCCGCGGGATAATGGTGCTGTAAATGCGGTCAACTTTACCTTGACTGTCTGATGAAGGTTTATCTCACTGATGCTAGTTGTACTGAAGAAATGGTTCGAAAATATTATAAGTATTTGAGAGTGCTTGATCCTTAGCAGCCTCGGTATCAAATATCAGCATTTATGTACAAAAGGGCCCCCAAAAATCCATCGCTATCATCAAGTCATTAAATTCCATCGCAGATATCCAAGATCAGTACAGGGTTTTCAATTCCCGTAGAGGAAGATGTGGGTCATATTTATCCCACACAATCTTGTTCTTCTCATTCAAGTGCGCACCCTCATCCGTGATGTTGATTATCAAATCTGTCTCCATAACCTCATGGTTGCTGAAACCCCACTTGTCGCGTGGGATCCACAAAGTCGGTGGTGGTGATGCCACACATGGCTCCCAATATGCTGTACGCATCTCTTCAGGTGTGTAGGAGACCCCCTCAACATTGCGGCGAACCTTTTGACGTAATGCCGCGTAATCTTTGTATACGTTCGGGTGAAACCATCTCCAAAAGGCCATTGCGCGTGGGCGGCGCTCTTCGTTGATAGCTGCGACTGCATCTTCTTTCTCTTGAAGCATTTCCTCTTCCGCATCAAGGGATCGTGGTAAGAATGTATTCAATGGGGCGAGTGCATTGTTGAGCGACAGATGTGCCAGGATGTTGCAGACCAAGAATAGGGCCATGATGATGACTGGGCCGATAGCGCCCTTGATGGCGCAAAGTCCTATCAAGCAAATCTCAGCCAGGTAGAGACCTGTTAACAAATGTTGGAGGGCTCGTGGGTAGACGAGTCCCTTTGTGTCGACTTGGATGTCATATACGAAGAGGAAGTTGTATCGGTAGGCTTGGTATACAAGATAAAGCCCGAGGAAGGCAAATCCCAGAATCAGAGGTGCGATGCATGAATAGGTCAGCGCTAAAGAATCTAGTCAGTCAATCCTCGTTAAAGCATGCGTAGAGCATCGCTTACCAATTACAGCCATGTTGGTGAAGACGGGGAAGACATTTCCCCAGCTGAGACTGGCAAGTTCGGCCCATCCTTGAAACAGACGACGAGGGGAATAGGCAAAGAACGTGGTGACAAATTTGAACACCAAGGCGCTGACAATTTGAACAAGGGCCATGGAACTCATGCTCAATCCCTGCAGCATGAAGTAAGAAATGTAGAAATTGGTCGCCTTGGGTAGGTTCTGTGCCAGCAGATCTTTGACCGAGAGAGGATCCTTGACAATCTGTGCCGTGGCAGCCGACGCAGCCGATGTCAAGGTCGTGACCAAAAACACTTGCACCACTTGAAAGACAAAGTGGGCGCTTTGTGTGAACAACTCAACTCGTGCCTTTGATGGGACTCCAGCTCGTCTAGCGCATACTATGTAGAGGTCAACAGGAGGGTTCAAGAAACAAGGCGAACTTGGAGAGCGTACTGCGACATATGATCGGTACCAGCGACATCAATGCCGCTAGGGCCGCGGCAGGCAGAAGACCCTCGATTGCTCCTTTGATAACATCGGGCAAGTTAAGAATGAAGCCGAGGAAGGGAATCAGCGTGCAAATGTATGTGATGTTTGAAATTGCACCAACAATTGCCGCAGGGAATGACCAAAAGATGACCATCGCCGCCAGGAATCCCTGGATCGCAAATCTCCTAACAATTCTTTGCCACCAGCTAAGATTCAATGCCGACCACACAATCTCGCGAGGCGAGACTCCAATAAAGCGAGGCGTCATATGAAACGGCTGGTGATGCGACAGGGTTTGCAGGGCGACTTGGGCATCGGCCTGGCTGTTGAATTCGACAAAGATTGCACTAAGCTGTTTCACTTCACCATTTTGGTGTTTGGCTTGCAGATTTGATACTTCTTCGATTTTCTTTGCGAGCTCAGCCCGATACCAGTGGATAGAGTCAACCTTTTCGCCA